ATTGCAATTTTAGATGATATAGATGTAGGCAATGAATAAACTATAATAATCAACTTTAAACGCAGTTTATTTTGGCTAAAGTGTAGTTAGATATTTAGTATGTAAATATTAATAACTTTTAGTCTATTCCTCAATTTACGTTTGAGCAAATTGAATATGTCTAGGGTCTAGATACCTACCTATCTACAGTTTCCTTAGCTAAAAACAAACATTTTTATGTTCGAGTATATGTGAAATGAAAGTTTTATTTTCCAAAAGGACTTTAAGAACAAAAAATATTGATTCTAGACAAAATACTACCCACTACCCTATATTCTTTATAAAAACAACTAAATATTTTTTCTCGTTGATGACTTTTTTGACACTTGTCTGGAATAAATTATTAGGTAGATATTTTTTTTCTTTTTCAGCTTGTGTCGATTTTACAGTGCCGTAGATTTTTCGTGTAAAGGTAAGAGAATAAATGCATTAAAATAAATAAATAGTAACAACAAAATTTATATTTTATATTATTGAATTTTCTCATTATATACGAGGGGAGGCGGAAATATGTATGAGTAATTTTGGTCAAAGAATAAAAGTAGGTATTGTACGTAAAAGTTTTGCATACTGTTGTTATAGGATCTATTTATAATCTTATTTAATGGTAGAAATAATTTACGAAAGTGAGTTTTTTTGCATCGTTGTTCAAAATAATTAAAATTATGCTTATAACTATTGTATACTTAGATAAAAATTATAGTTTTACAAAATATTTAAATGAGGATTAGGTGGTTACTCAAACAAAGTTCAGATTATAGCTAAATTTATTTTCTTCATACAAAACAAAAAAGCCACGTATTGTCTTTTATAGAAATAACACAAAAATCTAATCCCAATAAATTTATCTATCGGTAGCGTACCATGGGCGTACCGAGAGGGTTTTATTAAATATATTACAATATTTACAGATTTTGATTTAAAGTGTGAATTAATCTAAATAATATTAATTTTAAGAGGCCTATCTTCGCTATTTTTGATTTTTAGCCATAATTTGATGTTTTACGTTAGAACTGTCAAAACATTAAAGTGAAAAAAAATTCCTTTTTACTTATTTTTATATAAAATTAAATTCTCTCCAAAAAATTTCAATTTTTTCTTCGATTTTAATGGTGAATAACTTTTGAAGAATTAAATTTAGGAAAAATTTTAAGAGATCTTTTTTGTAGAACATTAAATTTCCTTTAAGAATTCGACGTGAGATTTTTTATATATTCATTGATTAGTTACAAAATTTCAAAGTAAAAAGAACAAATCAAAAACACACATCGATCTATTAAGCTCAATTACTCGAAAACGGCTCGTTTTACGAAAATTTTCAATCAGACCTTTTTTCCATTCTTCGTTTTTGGATGAATTGTCAGAACTTTCCCTCTTTACTGACTTAGCCTTGTTTTGTATTTTTATATTTTCTTCCCTTTTTCGTTTTCTCTCTTCTGCCCGTTTTTGTTGTCCTTCTTGTTCTCTTTTACTCAGAATCCTTTTTTATGTGGTATTTTTGCCAAATTTCTGACGTAATAGCACAAGGAATTTGCTCTTTATTCTTTTTTTTGTGTTTTTTACTTCTTTCGGCCAAAACAAGGCTTTTTTAAATGGAGTGGAAACTTGTTTCTTTAAAGATAATACATTGAACTGCGTTGTATTTTTCAATGAATTTAAAGGAGATCTATCACTTTGTGATACAGTAGGAGGTGTAATATTGACATCAGAATGTATAACAATTTTTAATGGGGTCATATCAGAATCAACTCTTTGTTGTTGAAGGCCAGAAGGTCATTTTCTTTCTTGTTGCAATTTAAGTTCTCACTTTTATTTATGTTTTCTAATGGTTCAACACCTAAAGCGGATTCTATTTTAATTTTTTTTTTCATTGTGTTCCATACGTTAAATAGTGACACATCTTCAATATTACCTACCATGCAGTATCAAAATTTGTTTGAAAGTTTTTTAATTTATCTGAGGGAAATTTTTTTTCCAATACTGCCAACCCTTCTATTATTCTGGTTTGATTAACTTTTGTCGACGGGTTTGAAATTTTTGAAAATTTTACATTTTCTACATTAAATGGTGAAAGTTTACATGCCCTAAATCCATGTTGAATTGTTTTATCTGTAACTTTGGACAACGCTTCCACAAACCCTTTTCCGAAATTTTCTTTTCGCAATATTTTTCCGTGATTTTCGATGTGCCAATCTCTTACATATTTTTTCCAAAATTGTTTTAGGACCGATTCCACCATTGTGTTAAACGAAGTTTAAAGTGACATTTTTACATTAACAATGTCATTTTAATCTCCGTTTAACACAACGGTGGAATCGGTCCTTAGCGGCTTAAATACAGCCACATCCAAATGTGTAGAGTTTGGATATAATGCAGAAAGTTCTATTCCGTTTTTTGAACAAAACTTTGATAGGTGTAATGTCATGTGCGACACATGACCGTCAATAAACATAATAATAGATCTCTCAATTTTTTTCTCATCTAGCCATGGTACAAACACATTTGTTATGTATTCAAAAAAAGTTGCTCTACACATTCATCCACTTTCGAAACGACCTATTCCCCAACTTTTATTGATACTGACTTGGAATGCGTTCATATTTAAACACTACCATGGAAGGAGCTAGTGTTTCAGCGGCATTGGCGGTGACTAATACAGTTAAATTTCTTTCTCGTCGTTGGTTCCAGCATTGTACACGCTTTTATCCCCTTTTCGTGCAAGGACTTTATCACCTTTTGGTTGAAGAAAAAAAAAGAGTTTCTTCATTGCTTGTGAGGATGGTACTTGGTCCCATTCGGTAATGTATAGGTAGCTTTCCTGTTGATTTATAAAGTAACGTTATTCGTGGAACAAAGTAAGTTTTAGCAGCTGTAGCTACTGGCATCCTTCTTGATATAGCAGCAAGAGCTTCATCCAACTGAGCCTCTATATATATTTTTTTTAGGTGCCATAACTGTAATCAAAAACGTGTTCCAGTTATTAACCCTGTCAATGACTGGAACAGTGTATATCAGTATTTGCTTGTGGACCAGTGATTGACAGGGTATGTCAATAACTGGAACATACTGGTTTTGTTTGTTCCAATTATTGACATTTTAACAAAAATGAGGTTTTAGGATTTACATGCATAAAAACCAGTAAAAACCTATCAGTGTTGTTTAATGCACCCCCAGGAATAGTTTAAATAAATTTAACATGAAGTGATAAGAAGTAGATATATTCAATTTGGTATACTGACCTTATGAAATGTCTTAACATATTCACATTCTATCACTGCAGTGCTATTTTCACCATTTTGTAACTGACCGTGGTACCACCTAACATTTGTTACGTAGGCTACAAATATTCTAAAAATACCGATGTTTAAGATAGTCTAATGTTCTTATTTTTGAAGAATAATTAAGCAAGTGTCAATTATTGGAACACTGTCAATTATTGGTGCACTTACCTTATATTTTTCAAAAAAAAGTCAATTGTTTTTGCCCAGTCTAAGCTACCTACTTTATTCTTTACCTAAAATCATTATAAAAATTTTGACAAACCTTTAGATTGGTGTTTAATTTTTAGTTATAGGTAAAAAAAACTTTTAAATCCAAAGGCTTTTACATTAAATAAAAAAAGTATAAAAAAGAGTATAGGTACCTAAAAAATAAAAAAAAAAAAATGATTGAAACATTAAATGATATTTAAAACGTTCAATCATTGATAGGAAATTTAAATTTTTGCTATTTTGAGGGTTTGGTATCATTGATGTTATTACAAAAGTTCAATGTTTTTGTATTCACATCAACGATTTTGTTTGGGATCATTCCCTTTCTCTTTGACAATAAAGACATTTGATTCACGCTATTTACGTCCTCTGAAATCATTTATTAAGAGATTACATATTACTAAGATGTGTTAGCTCTATAATAATTAATTTCTGATGTAAATTCTTGAATCAAATGGACAAGGCTGCAATGATACTGCCTGGTGACATCTCATACAATTATTAAACTTACCAGAATCAATCACAGATACAAACTTAAAATTCTTGTTTTTTTTTTTTGTAATATAAAAGTAATATAAAGTGTTTGATTTTGGTGTGTTAATAAATTGTAGAGTATCTAGGGGCTGTATTAGAGGCAGGGAATGATAGAATGGTTGTTGATGTTGGAATGAACTGACGTTGCCGGGAACAGAAGATGTCCGGAGTGTAAGAAAATGTCGGGTTATAAATTGAAGAATGGATTAAACGTGAAGTAAAATGGACCAGCCATTAGCGGGATGAGAAGAAAGAAGAATGTTTTTTAAAGGTGAGTCTTTTTTAATAATCTAACGCGACTTTGGCTATTCTAGTCCGTTTAAAAAATGATGGTATAGAATTTTTTTAATAGGTAGTTATTTTTTGTAAGATGTCCTTGTTCTAGTACAAAAACAGTTAAACATATTTTTGGAATTTTTCTGGATTTCTCCTTTAAGTTATCGTAACATTAAATTGACGTTATTTAATTAAAGGTATATCTCTTTTTTTGTTAATACTATCTTCGTATTGTTCTATACTTTTTAGATAAATACAGGGTGTCCCGCAATTAGACGATCATGTTTTAACAGCGTCATCTGCATCCTAAAATAGGAGTAAACGTTTATATAAACATAGGTCCGAAAACGTTTTGTTTCCGAGATACAGGGTGTTGAAAGTGAAGTCCTGATGACACATTTTTGTGAATATTTTCTAAACGTGGAAGATTCTTTATAGAGTAGTAATTGTTCGGAGCGTCTACAATTTTCTGTGCTTTAAGGACTGCCTAAAAGGTTATCTGTCATTAAAGAGAGCCATTTAGCATAAACTGGAAGCATTTCTTTATTGCTGCTATTGATGCTAACTTAGATCAGTTACTAAAAATCAGTTTAATAAAAACAAATCTCTAAGTAATCAAAAACAATGAAACGGTTTTATAAATATCTTTATTTTTTACTATTTTTCGATTCATTAATAAAGAATAATAATTGAGTAACAAAATTACCTGCACTCGCAACCTGTTACAATAGCTTTATCATAATTTTTAATAGCAATATCTCCATATTTATCAAAAAACATAACAGTCAAAGGCAAATATCTCGTTGGTACACAACAAGCCATTCGTTTTTGAAACATATACAAAAATTTCGCATGATTTGTATCATTTTCTGTGACTTTAACGCATTTCCCGACACAATCATATGCCGTAAATTCTTCTGGTTGTATTACGAATTTATCCCATCCCATCTGATTGAAGTTGATTATCCAACTTTGACGCTGGCACTGCGAAAAGGGATCTACACGATCTACCGTGGCGATTTCATTAGTTTCGGATTGAGAATCTGAAAAATATTTTTATGAGAATTTGGTCAGATATAAAATTTTATTCGAACGAATGTTTTTTGTATTACCACTAAGAAAATAGGAAGCAGGTTTGATAAATCTAGGTAAAAGTAAAAGATAACATAATTTTCTGACCATCGGATAAAACAAATTAATAAATAATAAATGTTTGAAGCTAGTATGAACCTTTTTTTCTATTACTTTATCTTTTTCCTAGATTTTTGATGTGATTCATCTTATTTGTCAACAAGCACTTGAGGACTGTCAATTTTGTTTATACATTTATACATTTTATGTGGTTTTATATTGCCAGTACATATTTTTAAAGTTTTTAGAATTTCTAGAAGATTTTTTGATAAATTTTGTTGGTTGTAAGTCTAAAAATTACTATTCAATGTTTATTTGCCCTAAAATATACATTTGAAGAAGTTCTACGTCGTTTTAAAGGTAAATAAATAAAAAAACATGGACGCAGGTTTCCTAGAAACTTTGAAGCAATGGAAATTTTGGTTCAAAAAAGACAAAAAAAAGTCCGTCCATGTGTGGATTACTTACAAGAGTCAAAAACGCCAAATCAGTTAATATCAGTTTTAACTATACAATAGAGAGTAAAATTATTTTATGATTTATAAACTACATTTTTTGTATAATTATTCATGTAGTTAGTTCATATTTGTGACTCACAATTTTTTGATATCTCGTTAGTGTTTTATTAATTGTGTAGGGGAGATGCGGGTAATGCCGCCCACTTATGAAAATGTTTCTAAAAATTAGGAAATATCGATACTGAATTATTTTACAATGTGTAATTGTTTAACAACTAGCTGTATGTCATAATCCTCAAATTAAAGCTTCCAAAGTGATAGAGAGAGTGCTTGACATCTTTGCCAATATTGGATTTATTGGGGGTAGATGGGGATTAGATCAGTATGAGCAACCTAGGCAGAATGGAGAAAAAGAAGAAGAAAAAGACTTACCGTTATTTTGTGATTTCACTATAATAAATGTACTAAAATTGCCAGTATGAGTATCGTTAAAAATTTCTATTAACTCATTTGTATCATAACTTGAAATCGTTAAAATCAGTCCTAGGTTTTCTTCACCATTTAACCAGTTATCGATGGGTTTTTTTACTTTGAACATCTAGAAAAAGGAATAATAGTTAATAAATTAATAAGACAACTGCTTCTGATCAAATATAGAAGAGGGTAACTTGGAACAACTCCAAATTTAACATCTTCTATATTTCTCGATGAACTTGGCATCATATTTCACAACGTTGATATCTCAAACTGGTATTCAGTATACTGCTTACATGACTAGGGTTACCAGACGTTAGGAAAAGTCCGGATATGTCCGGAATGCGACAGTAATTATAAATTGTCCGGAATTTTTAGGAAAAACATCAAACGTATTTGAGTATACTTAAAATACGGTATAAACAGTCCTTTTATCAGTTGAAATTGACTAAAAGGAAGATTGTTGTCTTGTGAAGTTGTTTGTGTATGCACTTTTGAATCATACATATAATGTTTTATGTTTAATTTCAAAAATTTTTAATTGATGAACTGTTTTTGTTTTTAGTTTTTGACGATGCTTTTTTAATAAAACGTTTAGTAATTATTTTATGAGTTGCAGTTTTATTATTTTGTCCGGAGTTTTATTATTTTGTCCGGAATTTTATTATTTTGTCCGAAGTTTTATTATTTTGTCCGGAGTTTTATTATTTTTAAAGAAATATCTGAAATTTTTATTAGAAATGTTTATTTTTGAATATAGTAATCCTATACACGAACGAATTAACTATTAACAAACAAGTATTTACTCACCTGCCACCCTTTATGTGCTTTAGAAACATAAATAACATTAAACAATTTGTGAATATCCGGATTTTGCATAAAGTTACTTTCATTAAAATCTTCATTACGCTTCTCAAATTGATACAACCGCAAAACTGCCGATTCCCTGAAAATTTGCGAGCTATTCTTCAAATCCCAATAAAAGTATAATTCGGCATCTAATATAATGTCTTCTGGATTAAGACTGTGTAGATTAAATTTCAAAATTGGACTAGTTTCGTTTCTGTTTGCGTTGAATAAGATTCTGGTTGTTACTGTTGATTCTGGCGCCGCTACTGATTCCTCGTAGAATTTTTTTAGGAACATTGGAAGGTGACTTTTGTTGAAATTTTTAGAATGGTCGTAGTTCCATTCCTCGTCCAAAAATAGGTTGAAATCTTGCTATAATTTGAAGTATATAATATTTAGTATTATGAAATGAATAAGTCCTTGAATAGAAAAAAATCTATGGAGAAATTTTAAAGTAAAATCAATAGTAATAATGCTCTCTTATTAAAGTTAATTAAATTCATGCGTTGGGCGCCACTTTTGTTATGTATATTTATTAAAATATGAATATATATCCTTATAAGAAGAGCTTTGAGTTTTGTACAACTTTTGTACAAATCTCAGTTCCTAGAGTCTTGGAACCGAGATATTTGAACGAGATACTTAAATTTGGATTCTTCAAATATTTTGAACTGCCACATTGGATAATATTATTTCTAAACATGTTACTATAACTATTTATTTTATTCGTTCAAAAAGTCTTTCTATATCAGAGGAATATCGATGCAAAATCGATTTGAGTTCGAAAATTAATAAGAAATATAGATAAATCGACAAAATTTGTGTTTTTCTATTAAAATTTATATTTAAATACGTACCTTAGGTAATTTTTCTACAGTTTGAGTCTGATGCATCCGTTTGTTGTTTATTACAGGCAATTCCAAATCGGTAATATTGTGATTAAGATACATAATTCTATTATTCACACGAAATTCGTTGCTGTTTTTTCCCATTTTAAAGAAATAACTTTTTCCACCGTTGTGAGTAACATTTTGGGCAAACGATATGTCTAAAATGATTAACAAAGCAAACCATATATTCATACCGAAATATTCTCGAATGCGTTTAGATAAAATTAAATTTAACTATGGAGCCAAGAGGAACTTAAAAGGAAAATTTACTTTAAGTGGATAATTTTGTCTATTTAGCAACAGTTTGTGTTAGTGTATTTACACATTTGGAGGAAGGTTCTAGTGAGCATTAATGAGGATACTTATTAAAATCATCATTGTTTTAAAGGAAAGTAGATAAAGATACAGGGAGATGTAAATGTATAAATAATGTAGAGCAGCTGTACTCAACCTGTTTTTATTTCGGGCCGCAATATTTTCTATAAATAAAAAAAAGTTCCTTATATTTTTTTTAGTTTACATACTTTCTAAAACAAATAAAAACCAAAAAAAAAAAACAAAAAAAAAACAAGAAAGGTCCTTCCTTATGTTGTTTTAGTTCTTTTAATAAGCAATGAAAAGTCGTAAGCACAGGACTGTACACGTCAACCATTTAAATTACTAACATTCGTGTTTGATGCTGTAAAAAAGCTTGGAGGACCCAAGGGCGTAGCTAAGGAAAGGTAATGAAGGTAATTACCCCCCAAGCCATAGTCAACATCAATATTTTTTTAAACTTTATATTAAACAAAAATAGAGGGATAAAATAAATACAATAAAACAAAGAGTTTCTCAGACATTGTCATCTAAAATAATAATATTCTTGCAGATTTGAAAATTAAAATTTATATACAGGGTCCCATTAGTGCGTAATTGTTCAATATTTAAATTTGTGTTATTGACAAGCAAAAAGTTTTAATAAAAGTTATATAAATTTGAAAAATATATATTTTAAAATTATTTTTGAATCTACAGGGTGTTTCGTTTTTGCCAGACAAATAAAAATGTATGTTTTTTAAATAAGACACCCTATACTTTATGTTATTTTTAGAATGGATTGGGAATTTAACCTTAGAATGTTTTTAAAAAAATTACAATTAATTTTTTTTTAAATTAGAGAATGATGCAGACCCCAAATTAAATTATGATAATTTAGGTAGGTTTACATTCATTTCAAAATTTGTTTAATATCCAGACTTATAAAATACCAAGCTAACGAATAGAGGTGATACAACTAGTTTATTCTATACAGAGTGATTTGAAATATGACTAATTTTAAGTTCAATTTACTCAATTTTTTCAAATGCATCACCCTGTATATTATCTTATCATACAATTCTTAAAAAAATTGCCTATACAACTATACTAATATGTTAGCCAATAACACATATACAGGGTGTCCCAACAATGCATAATTGATCGATAGCTGTTTTATTATTAGAAAAACGAAGAAATGCTTAATATAAATGTTGTATTACCATATTTAACAAATATTCTTAAATATACGGGGTCGTCCATAAACGAGGTGCTGACCAAATCTATACTTTTTTAAAGCAAAACACCCTACAGGTAGGTAATACATGTTTGAATGTTTTTACAAGGTCAAACAATTTTAATTGACTTAATTTATTTGCTATGTTGTATATAGGGTGTTTCAAAATGAAAGGTTATGATTTTCTCATTTTTTACCTTATATGTCATATCACCAATTAATTAATTTAAAAAATTGAGAAAATCGTAACCTCACATTTTGACACACCCTATATACAACATAGCAAATAAATTAAGTCTATTAAAGTTGACAATGTGAAAAAAATTAAATATAAAAATTAAAAGTTTAGTCAGACCCTTATTTATGGATCACCCTGTATATTGTAACGGTTGGTACCGTTATTCGTTATTTTGACACATTCACCTTTACTCAAATGTCATTTTTCGTCTTCTTCTTTTTTATTCGCCTTGCGAATTACTTTTGATTTGAATGTCAACGAATTAAGTTGATTTTTGTGCCTATCGAGTAAAAATTTTTTTGTTAGTGATAAAACTTTGTGCCTTTAAGAACATTCATTAAACGTGGTTATACAACTTTCCTATTTCCAATAATAAAAGAGCTATTGGGACATGTTGGTATCGTTGGATAGGTAAATTTATAAGGAATTTTATGCGAAAATAATATACAATGTTGCATTTGACAAAATTGAGTAAATTGAACTTAAAATTAGCCATATTTAAGACATTTCAAAACACTCTGTATAAAATAAACCAGTTCTATTACCTCGGAAATGGAAAGGTCTACAAAGATCAACCAGAAGTGCCTTTTTTTGTGACAAATGGCGTGAAAAATATTTATTAATCTTAAATTTTATGAAATATAGGGTGTTCAAAAAGTTTTGAATAAAATTGTTTCTTCAGCCCTTCATTTTACACCAATGGTTTCTAAATCGAAAGGGGATTTCACCTGTCTCTGTCAATAAGGTTAGAATTGGGGTAGATTTCATACAACCTGTGATGATACGAAGGCTTTGGTTCTGAAGTGTATCTATCTTTTTTTGTATTTGAGAACACGGTATTATAATTTGACATCCATAATCAAAGTGGGACAATAAATAAATTATAAATGCACAAGCTATTTTGGTTTAAAATAAAAGAAGGGATATCATAAATAAAACACTTAAATGCACATCAATTTTAATATTATAACATTTTAATATTATAGAGATATTATAAAATTTGTGTCCATAATGGTAACGTAGCAATAATGTAACTGAGTTTATGGTCCCCAAAAACTAGAATTTACTTGTTAATACGTTTCAACAACACAATCAACTAATTATTAGTATAGCTGGTAGAGTAAGTTGCTTCCATTACTATAGAAAGCGTCAATCCCACCAAAAAAGTGGGAAGAGTAAGGATGACTGTAGGAAGAGGCATAGTGGGAAGGGCGCCTTCTTTAGTAACTTACCTGTAGACATATTTCACAAAATTTTCTTCAGTCTTAAGAAAGTACAGAGTAAGTAATTATTTTTAAAATAGAAAATAGAACAAATTTTTAAAGAAAATATTTGAGTTTTGTTCTGTATAAAGATAAATGAATCTATAACATTTTAAAATATCATTCCAAATCAGATCTATCGGATTAACATACAAAATATTGTTCATATTAAGCGTACAACAAGATATACAGCTATTCGTCCTTTACTGTGATGTACTAAATAGGATTGAGAGTGAAAGAAAGAAAGAAAGAGCAAGAACAAGAGCAACTTTACTTCTCACATAAATGGGATCATTTTCACCCTAAGAAACATTTGGTGCATCAGAGCAAATGCTGAATGCTGTGAACCTTTAACGATTTGTGTAACAAAACGGGGAAATCTTTTACTTATTTTCTATTAAAATATTTTTTCTACACACACATTTATATTATCTACTTTATGAACGAGCTCCAGAATGAATATATAGGCCATATCAGTCTACAAAATAGATATAATTCCATATTCATTCTAATAAGGATACGAAATCACAGTACAAATTTTTAAAAATATCAAATCTGTCAAACTAATTGTCAGTATATTTTTAATTATTTAGGTTACTTTTAAATAAAAATGAGTGATTCTAGTTTATAGTTAAAATAACATTTTAATAATAATTTATTTATTTTTAAGTTATTGCATAGCTTTTATCGCGGGCTTTGAGCGCGGCGACCGAATCAAGAAATTCTGTAACGAAAATAAATCTAATATCCCCCACTCTGACCGTCATAGCGGTGCGGCGTTGAAAGCCGTGCATCGCCTAACGTCGTTTCAGTATATTGCACACGTTAGCGATGTTAATGTTAGGCGCTCATTTGTTGGAGATATTTGCGAGTGCTTATGCAAACTTACAAATGGCCTACACATAGTCATAGTAGCAATTTACATTTCTCCGAATCCAAAATTGGACAAGGTAGAGCATTTTATTCATCACACTTTACTGGAGTACAATGAAGAAGGGTCGAAAATACTTGGTACAAATGGTAATAAATGTCCACTTATCTTAGCTGGCGATTTCAACATCAACTTCGCTGATAAAAAATCAGCGCGGTTGACAACTTTTCTTTTGGAAAAATTAAATTTGAAAATGAATAATGATCTACAAGAATCCACAACAAAATATGGGACCACCATTAACGCGGTATTTTCCAGATATTTAGAGGATATCAAGTCTCTTTCAGTTACCATAAACCTATAGTTTCAATGATAAAAATTCCTGAATAACCTACAAGTATTGTAAGATAATAAAAATATTTTAAACAATATTAACTTCTCATTTATTCAATAAAAGAAAAAAATTGTTTTCTTATCGGTAACCACGCTCAAAAAGTGTAACTTGAATTAATATCAAAGAAAAAAAATACTGCATAAATAAAATAAATAAATAATTATAATTGCATAAGTTGATAAAAAATGCTATGCAATAGCTTTATCGCGGCAGTCCCCGAGTGTCACACGTCATCCTGGCATCGTATTATAATCCTTTATGACTTTTCTACTCAAAAACTGGTGAAAAATTAAAAAATGAGCCATAATACTGGTTCCACAAAAAAATATGGTACTTACCTACACAGTATATAGAACGTTTTGTAAAAATCGGTGAGTTTTGTATATACTCAAATTTTTCCTTTTTATAAATTAGTAAAACTCATGAATTCAAATCTTTTTCTTAATTATTTTTAAGAAAGATATTTTATCTTAACAGTGCGCAGCCAGAATTAGGTGTATTTAAAAAATATAATATTGTTTTACCTAGTTTAACATTTTTAATTTGAAAATCGTCAGAGGCCGCGTCTGAGTCTGGGGTTAACCCATAACACCCACTCACTGCGCCACTGTATCTTAATAATCTTTTAATTAGTGTTCAAAATTCTATAGATATTCATCAGTGAGTGGTAGAAAAAATACACTCTACAACTCGAGTGGATTGTTCGTATCAAATTTCGTTTTCGTGTGATATGGCCACCACATCCACTCTTGTTGCACCAACAAAATTTTTCTGGTTTTACATCGTTTTTCAAATATTAAATAACTAAAAACTAAATATTTACATTTTTGAGGACGGGTCAACGTTGGTTGAAATACTTTATATAATCTATATTAAAATTATAAATAGTATATGTATAATATTGCTTAATTCAAATTCGTGAATTTTTTGTAACAACATTAATTATTATTGATTACTATTTGTAAGGCGTTAAGCAAAGAGACGAATCCATACTGCGTAATTGCAACTTTTTAATTTTACAAAGCCATCATTATAGAGTTCTTAGAAATTTTGACAATTATTTTACAATTTTTAAATTTTAAATAACTTTATCTATTATGAATTCAATAAGTTAACAAAAAACAACTGAGACAATGTTTTTCTAATAAACGTAATTTAGATTGTTTTGTCCAATAATTAACTAGGTCCAAACCGTTCAGGAATGAGAATTTGATAGAATTATTATCAGTAATGATAACAATTTTAGTGCAACCGAAAGAATTTGTAATATGAACCATTGCGACAAAATCGCATTAAATACTTTTATTGCAGAGTGCACAAGTACATTGAAAAACAATATGCTCCTGAAGCAACCCACATCTTTGGAAGACGCTGTAGTTTATGTTAACTAGTATGGACATTTTAAAAATGTTTATACGCATCCTAGCGACTCAAAATGAAATAAGTATTCCTAAAAATAATTTTCAATTTCAAAATTTTACTAAACTGAATAATTATAATAATTATTAACCAAATCCAACAATCGCATAAGTTTTTAGAGCCTCACGAAATATGTTTAAACATAATTATTAAGCAATTTCCCGAATCCCAACTAGTGTTAACCTTTTCGAGAATTCCATCAATGTATAGTAAAAAAACTTTTAATCAAAATAATAGGTCTAATAATCTTTTTCAAAATATTAATCAAAAGCCCAATTTTATATCTGAAGAACTATTTGTGAACAAAATGATAATCATCAATTTGAAAATGATGTCAACTATTTTAATCTTGAAGAGAACCTAGAGTTAGTAGAATTAAATATAACTTCTGCCGTATATTGAAATTTCCAAATCAATCTAAAAATATTAGTTGATACCGGTAGCACAAAATTCATTTTAAAGCCCACAATAGCAGAAATTTTTTATCTTAGTAGTATATATCATTCAAATGTATCACTTTCAACCTTTTTAGGTACTAAAAATATCAAATATCATGTAGAAATATCAACTTTTAAGCAATTTAATAATAATCATATATTGACTTTTATTCTTTATAACTTCCACGAATTTTTCGACGGCGTTATAGGTATTAATGACTTTATTGTAATGAATTTAATTATAGATTTAAATAATAAACAATTCATTAATGATTGCTTAACGATTCCAATAAAATGTAGACAACCAAATTATATAGAATATAAAAATGGCATATCTAGATACTAGTTTTTTCAATTCATAATAGATAAAGTATTCATTCGATATTTTCTCCATAAAAATATTGAAATATTTAAAAATTTATATTTTTCATAGATGGATAGTTAAAAAAAGAATTTCCAAATTTTTAAGACGAATAAGTAATCTTTTTATTTACTTTATTTACTTTTTTGTATGGATGTATTTATAAATCAATTTTAATATTAAAAAAATGTAAACATATTTTAAAATACTTTGTAAACGAATGAAAATGTGGTAGAAAAGCATTTTTTTTGTAAAAAGTTTAAGCATTTTTCGCACATTTGTGTTATTTATTAAAAAAAAAACAATCAAATTCCTTAATTAAAATATAAAAACACCTTATTTCATTCTGATGGAATATTCAAACAACAAAAAGCAGTGGCAGCAGGTGACCAAAATATTGGGGGCTCACAATAACAAAATATAGATCTTAGTATAGATTTAGAAAAGTATATTATCTGTACTGAGATACTATTCTGTCATTGTGTACCCCCATTATTTTGGTGATGAACCGCCACTGCAATGTTTTTGTTATTTAAGCAAATAATATCATCTTAAAGTTTACTAAGCAGCGGCACAGAAGAGATAACAATACAGAGCTAGTTCCACCACAGAAATACTCTCAGAAAACATAACTATAAGTTACAAATAGATAAACAAAGCTGACATGGGCTCACATAGGGAATTCAATGTGTAAGAGCAAGAGGTACAATTTCAGTAGGTAAGAGTGAGACAGAGTGAGTGGAAGTGGGGAAGTGGAGGGGGAGCGGGAGGAATTAAATCCCTTTTAACGTCGAACAGAAAAATCATGCGATTGCCAGAAGAGCCTAAGCATGTATCTTTGTTATTGTTGGTCCGATTCAAACGGGAAAAACGGCATTATGTAGAGAACGCAGTATAAATTAACGTTAAATAGAAAAACCATGCGCAGAACGAAAAGTCAGAAGGACCTTAGCGTGTTTCTTGGATAATACTGGTCCGATTCAAACGGGAAAAACGGAATTATATAGAGAACGTGATATAGATTAACGTCAAACAGAAAAATCATGCGCAGACCAAAATGCCAGAAAGACCTTAGCGTATTTCTTGGATATTACTGATCCGATTCAAACGGAAAAAACGGCGTTATCTAGAGAACGCGGTATAGATTAACGTCAAACAGAACAATCATGCGCAGTGACGGACCAAAAGGACCTAAAACTTATCTTTTTTCTTAGAGTATCTCTTTAGTCGAACTAGCCCTATGTTTCTTTACTTTATTGTTCTTCTCTTCTGTGACAACAGTAATAATATGTTGTCATATTTATTTAAAGCCATTTGTTATTAGGTTTGTTTCGGATATGTTAAAGATATTAGAAACATTTTGGAATAGTACAACATTCTATATAGGTAACATTAAATTACACATAACCATAAATTACCAAAAGGTAATTCATTCATTTTTAGGTTTATGCGCAATTTACTAATCTAAAACAGCATCTATACTTAATATCTATATCAAACGGGTTGCCGTTTTCGAAAAATTACACACAATCAGCGTTCATCTTCCATATTTAAACTCTACTTACCAAACGATTTTGAATATATGATAATAAGCGTATAAGAAAATTGACAACCATTATACAATTGATTACATCATTATTAAATGCTATATCGAACATTACTGCATCGGTCAATGGATTATGGTTTTCTTACAAACATTATAATTCTTCTACATTTGAAAAAATTAACTCTGCTGTTCTACAAGTTAGGATAATTCAGTAATATATACCTCCATACATAAAATAAATTGATTTCGTCATAGTTTTATTAAAAAGTCCAGATTAGGAATAATAACGATGATGATCCACCAATAAAACAGCGCTCTTGATCACTCACCTGGCTTGTTCTTAAAACAAACAAATTCTACAATACATCAAACATTTATGACTTTCAACAAAACACCATAATGCAGAAGAAAAGAACTCTTAGATACTGGAAGACAAGCGCAAAATATAACTCAATGAATCTGCCATTCAAATGATTTATTTTAAAATCATACTCGAGCTTAACGGAGGACATAACTTTTATTTATTGTACGAGAGAATTTATAATGAAAACCATTTTCATTGACTACGCTCTAAAGGAAACACATTGATCCCACATGTCTTAAAAGATATGAAAACTTAAACCTATATCAGCGATCCTCTTCTACTGCTTAACACCGGCGACATCTGCAGATTATTTTTATGAACATTCAGCGATGCTTGGTCTTCTGTTTTGGAGGGATTATGCACCTGCACTTCTGTATCATTATCACTTTTAGTAACTCCATTAACAGCATTTTGATTTATATTGTTCTTAGGATGATCGGATGTTTCTTCTTGTTTTTCTGTAAGGTATTTGAGTCTAGTTTCGGGATCGACCATTCGGAAGGATTCTAAAAATTCGTTGAGATCAACTTGACCGTCTTTGTTCAAATCCATTAGCCTACAAATGTCTTTAAGTTGTTCTTGAGTCATCGGACATGGCATGAAGCGTTTGATTAGGTTGCACGCTTCTGAGAATTCCTCCAAACTGATGTAACCTAAGTAAATAGAAACACTATTTAAAAAGAAGAAGAATCGACATCAAATAAATTTACAATGAGAAATTATTCTTAAAATATGCACCTAGATGCAAACACATCTGTATGTGCAATAGAAATAGATTAAAACTACATAAAATTAACATTACCTATAAACTAAACATTTGATGATTAAAAGGACAGTTTTTTCTTAGATGTTCTTCAGCACAAAGAGAACACACATTTTTTTTGTTCAAATTTGTTTATTATGGTAATATCCTTTGACACTGATAGCATCTTGGTATGTCAAGATCCTCATATACTATTAATTTTATCATTTAAAAAAAATGAAAAAGGTCATTATCGACGCTTATGTCATATACTGTTATAAAAATTAATTTATAGTTCTTATCCCAAAATGATATCAAATGTCAAATGTTTTAATCCTAAAGGAAACCTAGAGTTAGTAGAATTAAATATAACTTCTGCCGTATATTGAAATTTTCTAACCATTCAAACTATTAGTTGATACCGGTAGCACAAAATTGATTATAAAGCCCACAATAGCAGAAAATTTTTATCTATCATTTAAATGTATCAGTTTCAACCTATTTAGGTACTAAAAATACCAAATATCATGTAGAAATACCAGGTTTCAAGGAATTAAATAATCATCATATATTGACTTTGATTCTTTATGACTTCCACGAATTTTTCGACGGAGGTATTAATGATCTTACTGTAATAAAGTTCATAATAAGTAATTTTCTCATATTCCGTTTATTATATAACTTAATATCTAACTCAAGTTTTGCTAGCCCTTGGTTGTGTTTCGATAGTTTGACTTACCAGACTTATCTTTATCGATAATATGAAAAATGGCTTCTAAGCTATTTTTATTCCTATACAGTGTTTCAACTACAGAATGAGCACCTTGTACAGACTGCAACAAAAAGTCAAAATCTATTATCAATCGAAACATCTTAGTAACAATACTTACATTCAGTTTTTCATTTTTGACATCAAATGTTGTTTGATACTTTACTTTGTTATTAGAATCAATTGTTACTAATTTGTCTTTAAGCATCCTCCAAGGTAACTGAAGACCTGTAGCGTTCTCTAAAGCTACACACCATTGAGTAATAGATATGTATCCTAAAAAATAGATATAAAAACAAATATTATCAAAGATAAATTAATTTTACCTGTGTTTTCGGGATCAGCTTCGGCGAAAGCTTCGTCTAACTTGCACCTGTTGTTCAATATCTGCATTTTTAATTCTCTGCAAGCTCCAGACTCGACTAGGCCCATTCTTTGGTATAGATTGAGTTTTCTTCTGCCGGCATTAGCCATGTATTGGACAAAATGAGTGTCTAAATCGGGGCCCATTAGTTTTAAATAAGCGCCATTATTTGAGCCTACTTCGTAATAGTTTGATGCCGAAAATATGGTTATGACCTAGAAGTAATAATAAAATGTATATGAATTATTATCAAATAGTATTTATGATGGATGGTTTAAATAAAGAAAATAATATTGATATTGCTTTATTAGTGTTTCAGTCCAAATTTGCCCCAAAAAGATACTATTCGACATTTTGTTGAAAGGAAATCAATCATATTTATGGAACAAGCAAAAAAACTATATATAAAAATTACCAATTGATATAATTTTTACAGATTTCAGTAAGGTATTTGACAAAGTTAATCATGATGTTAATTTAGGAAAGTTATACAGTTTAGACACCAGAAAAACATTATTAGAGCTACTCATAAATTATTTAAAATATAAATATTTTGTTGCAAAATACTATAGAAATATTATTAATAAAAAACATATTTTGGAGTTCCGCAAGGATCTAACCTCGGACCGTTATATTTTTTAACATTTATCAATGATATCAAATAGAGCATCAATCAACCCCAAAGGGAAAATTCCGGTTATTTAATAGGAATCTACTGAGACTTTTGATGGTGTCTTTGTTTATATTATCAAGATTAAGAATGAATAAGATACAAGAGAATAAACGAATTTTTGAAGCAAGATTAATTCTGACTATCAGATCACTAGAAAACGGTCTACATCGTCGGCTAATTATATTCTTTTATTATATTTTGTGTTAAAAACAATTAAATTACTTTTTTTTTTTTTTTTTTTTTTTTTCGATTTATGGCCTAGGTGTATATACCTAATATGCCAGTCTCAAATTTGTGTTTAAATTCTCAATCATGTGTGTTCTGTGTAGGCTTTGTTACTGTTTCCCAGCGCCACTTTAGGAACAGCACTGTTAATTAGAACCCAACAGTGAATGGTCGAGTGGGGAATCCTACCAAGGCATCAGAATTAATTTTAAATAATTAAATTACTTATTATATTATTTCTACTATAATCATAATTTTAGTTTTTTATCTAGATATAGTTTACAATTTTATTAGTACAAGTGACAACGGTCTTTCGATTTCTATAGGCACTCACCTCTCTTTGTATAGCGCTATGCCAGCCATTAATTATTAATTAATGGTTAACGACGCACTAAAAAGAGCTCTCTAACGGCTTAGGTGCCGAGATTACGCAGCTTACGTATACCAAGATTAAATTTCCCATGAAAATCACGTAGCGATATTGGAGGCATAAAGTCGGAATAAGTCCCAGACTTTATTGACCAAACTTTTGAGCGCCTAAGTGTGTTTGCGTTGCCATCTCGAATATATATATTTTTCGCTAAGAATTCGAAAGTTCAATAAAAGAGAAATTAGCTGAAAGGGGTTAATTTGGCTTCTTCTGTAATATCTGTAATGTGCATCCAATTTCAAGAGAAGTATTTTTATGGTACTTACTTATTATTATTATTATTATTATTAAATGCATCTGCTACAACTACATGTACGTTCTTGAGTCACATGATCAAAGATTAGTAAATTTTTCGATAATCTTGGATCTCTTAGAACAAAATGTTTTTGAACTAAAATAACAAATCGCTTATCCTTCGAAAAAATAGTACTTTAGCATATTCCTACTGTCAAGTTATGCCAATTGCACCGTTTTCAATATACTATCAGTGCCATGTTTCTGTCTTGCATAGTTGGCATGATAAATAACATCTTTACAGGTGTTTTAAGTTTATTTAAAGTATGGTACCAGATTGTGCACATCCGACAATACTTTCCAGACCTACCCTGTCTTTTTGTCTGCAGTAACACAATCGATAATTTCATTGCTGCCTATCATCGCGCCCTTGCTAGTATCTAGTGGGAATAAACGCTCATATTGAAGTATCAAGAGAATGTCTTGTACTGTAGGAAGTATATCGAAGTGTGCCTGTAAAAATTTTCCAAGCATAGAAGCGTTAAATATTTTTTGTGATCAATTTCGTAAGCTAAAGGTTAGTAATTGTTTAGCATTCTAAATTGTATCTAAATAGCAAAACAGATTTGACTCCTAACAGGTAACAAACAGGAGGCAGGAGAGTAGGAAGTAGACAAGTTAGAACCAGCATTACAATAAGAAAGAAGACCGGAAGACTTTTTTTATTTATTCGTTTAGTTAAAAAAACTTTCTTTAGTCATTTATAATGGTTTGTAAAATTTTTGTAGAAAGCCAGAGGAGCTACAAATCTAAATCTGTTCCTGGAATGGTATACATTTTCTGATGTGGAACAATTTTTAAAATGTTTATTTGGAACTGTATCCATCTGTACATAGGCTATAATCTTTTTTGTATATAATGCTGGCAAGATTACACCTTCAGGGCTCAACTTCTTTGCTTGTATTGATCTGAATAAATGATATTCATATATACAGGAGTAGAAACCCAAGCAAATCACTTCCAGAGGTTTGATCTTGACAGCATATGGATCCAAACTACTTTTTTTTCACCCAAGAACATCTGGTACAATTTATAATCTACCTTTTTTGTTACACTATTAATAAAAACTTACACAATTGTTATGACAAACTTCGTATCCATCTGGTTTGCACTCGTGAGATCTAATGATGTACTGCAGTTTGTTGTTGGCTAGAAATTTTTTCGTCACATCAGGTCCAAAGTAGGTACCAGCTCCTCGTAGGCTGTTTGGGATGCAGCCTGTGTTATCTTGTGGATCTGACCATAGAATATCAAAGACCTGCGATAAAAAAATATTGGATCATCTGAGAAAATATGATTAAAAATAATATAAGCATCTCTTATAGATTGAAAATTACATAAAATGCTTAACCTAGAAGAAGTTGTCAGATAGTGGGGCAAAAGTCATGTAAATAACTTTAATTTTTTGTTAACGGTCAAGAAGCTGCATTTTTAGATTTGACAAAGCCATACTGATATTTATAAATTATATAAAAAAATACGTGTAAGTAAATTATATAGTACAATTTCAAATAATTTAGAGAATACTAATATTAATGCAACTGGCGTTTAATTAATTATATATATTAAAAATAGGACATGAGATTTTCAATTTATGGAAAAATTGTTATTTTATAACATGTTATTCGGTATTTGCAACTTTTCCTTTTTTGAATTCACAAAACTAAAAAAGAATGAGTAGATAGACAAAGTATGTACGGGCTCACAATTCCAAAGGTTGCCGCTAGATGACGCCATATGTCAGTGGTGTTCAATTGAAACTCGGAGAGGAAGAGGAATATCATGCTAAAGAGGAAAATCATGCGCAGTAGTCAAAAGGAAGTAAGTATGTATCTTGGCTATTTTAATTCGCCTATTATAGTATAGAAAAATCATGTACAGTGTCAAAGGATCTAAGCGTGTATCTAGGTTGTTATTGGTTGGATTTAAACTGGGAAAACGGAGAAGTGGGGAAAATTACCGATGAAAAATACGCGTAGTGACCTGCGCCTATTATTGGTCAGATTTATACGAGAAATGGGGAGGTAACTCGCACCAACTATTGAATTTTAATCATTACGGAGATGTCAAGCGAAGATAATAGACGTAGAATTGAAGAGTTTGATAAAAGAGTTAGAGAACTAAGTAAAGATATAAAATTATATGAATACAAAAAGGAAGTTTTAAGAAATCTAACAAATTTAGAGACGCTTGACACATGACGTTGACAATGCCATCTATCAAACATCATAGTGCGTTCGAAAACGACATTTTCGACGTTTTTCGACGGTTTTCGACGGTTTTCGACACTTCTCAACGGTTTTCGACGGTTTTCAACGGTTTTAAACTTTTTTTGGACGTTTTTTGAACCTTTTCGACGGTTTTCCAACGTTTTTCGACGTTTTTTTAACGTTTTCTTGACGTTTTCAACGTTTTTTGGCGTTTTTTTTTGCGTTTTTAACGACCTTTTTATACAAAAGTAGTACCAGAAGAAATATAATTGGTATATTTGCGTTTGTAGTTTTTATTTTGTTAATTTTTAGTTCGAAAGAAAACATATAAATAATGAATAAAACTGGTTTCCTATCAATGAGGCACAAAATTGCATTCCAGCCACATACCATAATCTAGTTGCTGAACATTTAAGATTTAAGTGATGTTGAAGAACATTGCGAAATTGTTTATTTAAAACCTTTGTACCTTCTAATATCTACTATTTCCAGTAATACTGGTATTATTATTACAAAATTAAAGGTACTTTTATCTTCTTATTGTATGTACAGCTATCCATTAATTTTTTTGATTTAATTTCCATTTTGCTACTAAAAATTTATATAATTGACACTGTTTTTTTGCTAGTATTTTTAGAATTTACAACACAGCAACTGTGTTGATTATTGTATTGTTTTTACCTATTAAAAAAAAAAAAATAAATAAACTCTGTACGACAATATCAAAAATTACAATATATCGCCCTAAAGTACTAGCTTACATTAGTATCACTTTTGCTTCCTCTACTAATCGAATAAGTTTTGAATTATTTTGTTATTTATTCAGCCATTAATAATTTCAATATGACTCGAGCAAATAATACTGCCAGTCCCTTATCCCTCAATGATCGACTTCAGCGTGTACCCTCGTTCATTATTGAATGTAACTAAGCTTATCATCTTACCTGTTTCCACTCCACTTTGTCGATAACTTCTGCCCCAGGCGCGTTGCTGTCAGTCAATGGCGGCCTTAATAATGACACATACTAGAACAAACAATGTGATAGAAAATTACTGAAATGTACATTACAACAACCCACATTCGTAGGGTTGGCGCCGAGCAATTTCTTACAAGGAAATATTGTTTTTTGAGGTAAACATGTATAGAGGAAAAATGTTCAGTGAAAACAAATTAAATTAAAGTAGATATTGAGTTAGTGGAGAATCCAAACATACTAGATAATAGTGTTTTTATATGTTTTAATGAGTATTTAAGGGTAGTTGGTTTTACGTTTATTCACCTAAGGAAAAGTGGTGGGAACAGCTCTAAAATGATTTTAAATACAGGGTATAACACAATTAATCTTAGTTCAATTCTTGAATTAAAAAAGTTAAAGGGTAAGTTATCAAATAATTTAAACGATAATTACTATCTTAATTTTCTCTAAATTGGATTTATGAACATGTTAGATGGTTTGCCATTAATGATGAGATATACAGGATGATCCTCCATTTTATTACAATAGAACAGTACGAACTCACCTTGATCATTAATTTCTCTAACATTAGATCAGCTGAGGAAGCCAATATGCTTGGCCAGAAATGATAACATACTTTTTAATATTAGAAAATCATTCAAAAAACGAATATGAAAATGTATTGTAGTCAATGGTTGTCACCTCGAATATAAGTAAAGTAATAAACGATATAAACTAGAAAGATGGCGTTCTTTTATTAAAAAAAAAAAATTAAATTGTTTGTATTTGTCCCTATAATTTTATAAATTGACTGCACCTGAAGATGGAAAAATTTGTACTTTTCGAAACATATGTAGTGTGCTAAACAATAAAAATAAATACATTTGACCGATAAAAGCAAGGAAAAATTTTTATTTGTATAAAATTCTACTCCGTTCAGGAAATTATCGTTATTCAAATAAAGTAATAATATCATTTTATAATGTGGAGTTTATTATAATGAAAGTTGGTAAAATTATAAAACTATTTCTATAAAAAAATTACTTTGGCATCCTGTATCTTTTTTAATATCAATAATTATTGAACTAAGGTAACTTGTGTTATATCGCAATATATTTATGCAAGGAATTCATAGTTGCTGTGTCTCATTACTGATAGACACTTATAGATGCTTATGGAAGTTCTCAAGTACGAAATACTAATTATTGTTTACCATCACAACGAACCTATGCTATCTATGAATCGGAAGTTGATATTTCCACTGCATTTCGGTATCTAACTCTCAAACAAACATTTCCTACGAGGTACGCGTCAGCTATAAATGTCTTTAACATAAATTCTACAACCTCATGCTTAATGCATCTTTTATGTAAATGTTCGCTGATTTATAAGAGGAACCAACACCGATTTTCAGCTATATATTAAAAAGTAAAATGTCAGCTTCCGCAGACAAAGTGCGGTGGTCCCGTTTTGTGAATAAATTTTCCTTGGGCTAGCGTCGAGGACAAGGAAGAGTTCTGGAATTTTAAGGTTTCCTTTGTTGACGATTTCATTACAAAAACATCGGTATTTAGATTTGTTCATTGTTATCACGGTTAGTGCTATTTGAGATTTAAATATCAAGAGTTCAGGTTATATCTTTAATTTATAAGATGTCGAAAAATACGTATATTTATGTATATTTTAATATTTTACTTTTTAATTTCATCCGGTAGGATATGATTTTTGACTATGATTGAGGACTAATCAAAAAAACGGTTGTCAGTAATAAAGAATACGAAAATTTATATATTGTATGATACTACAGTTGGCGGTACTATATTAAGAGTACCAGGTGGGTTAATTTTAAATAAAATATGTATAAAAAAAAATCAGGAGAAATTTCTAAACAATTTAAGAGAAACCATAAATCAAATTAAAGCCATAAGAATTCTAAACAATTTAGGAGAAACCATGAATCAAATTAAAGCAACAAAAACATCAAATTACAGCTCAAGAAGAATTTTCATTCCAAAAGAAATTTGGGTGTTGCTGCATTTGATGCGGTACGAAAACCTTTACAAAAACCTTACATAAAGGTTTTGAATAGAAGAGATGGTGTTTCTACATCGCTAATAAATGAAAAAAAAAATGTATCAATTGAAAGAATAATTTCGAAGAAGATAAGCAAAATATTATTCAAGATGAACCCAAAAAGGATTAATTAAAAAAAAACTATTTGAGAATTTCCAAAGAATGTATGTAAACTTTTGTTTTTCATTATTTTTATTAATATATAGGTATAATTTTGTCATTTTTGGTTTTAAATGATTTCAAATTCTGTTCGTTAAATGAAATTGAAGTATTATTACTCAAATATCTTATTTAATATGTAAAGTGATTAAAGTGTAATCTTCAGACCAAGACGGAAGCGTCGAAAATCCAAATAGAAAATCAAATATTGCCAACAGGAAAACTCGATTTAACAAGCTATCTCTATCATGTCTGATTGACTGTTAACCGAGAACAAGTTTCGCTTGATATGACACCGCCGTATATCCTGAGATATTAGTGTCACATTTCTGAGAATATGGAAAATGGTTATTAGGCTAAATTATGAAAGCACTAGTTCTGAATTAGATTGTTGAAAGTCTTTCCATTTTACTTGGATGGAGTTTCCTTGAAGGAAATTGTAGGTAGTTAATGATAAAAGCTATTAGCGGTGCTTTATGTCGAAAAGGAGACTTTAGAGGTACCAAATTTTAACTACTAACTAGACAAAAATAATTTTAAAAGTTCTATATTGCGTCAAAAGTTTGTGAAAATATGATCTACTTGATTTAACAGACTCTTATTCATTATTTTTTGATAAAACTGTGTTTAAAATGAAATGTCTACTATTAGTAGTGTCAGCAAGAATGGATATGGACAATTCACTCGAGTTGTATAGTATAATATTTTTTCTACTATCAAATAACGAAAATCTACAAATTTAAAGAATTTAACGTAAGCGACATATGTTCAAATAGCACTTAGTGTTTAAATAGCACACTGGCAAAAAGGTATCGATATTTCAGGTTATTAAGGTAAAATAACTAATTTTAAAATAATTTATGACTTTTACTAATTTATAAAATAAAATAAACAAGAAAGTTGGCTGGGGAGTAGTGAGGCTAAATTAACTTTAATATATCCAAAGTTAGAATTTTTTTTTTGTAAAAATCGATAATATTGTAATATAAGCATAAATTAAGTTCTTCTAATACAGCCACTCTATTGGACACCAATTGTTTGTTAGTTTCAAGAATTTCCTGCACTTCCTCTTCACACAAATAGTATTCGACACCATGGTTCTTTACAACCAAGAATTTAATATCGTCATGAACTAGTTGCGTAATGATGCAATAATCGCCATATGCACATGAAATGGGATCATCCATCTTTTGTTTGAGAATATCAACAAAAGTAGCCCATTCGAAAGTTCCAAAAGATATTTTAGTAGGCCCGAAGTGTTGTACCAAAATGATTGCTGGAGTAAACGATCTCGCTGGACTTATACCGCATCGATCGTATCCTGATAACATATATGAGATTTGAAGTAGGTAATGCATCTCATGTTAAGTTCTTCAGAAGGTTGTCGCCTAAACTTTTCGAAAGATTGATCGAGTTCTACATCAATATCATCCATATCACTATCGGACATTTCACTCTCGACTAATACTTCGATACCACTGTCTTGGCTACACATGATTACTAAAGTACAAACTGACAATGCTGCTCCTATTTATAGCCCCCACTACAACATCCGGTTTCGACTGATTACACAAAAAAGACCTTGGATTTGATTTATATCAGAACGTAGAGACGTCAACGTTTTTTCAATATTTTCCAAAACTGTATTATGTGATTGTATTTTGGCATTATATTCGTTGTTTGTGTCAGTTTTAATTTTTGCTATATCACTTCGAAGGAATCCTTTGTTTGTTTTAATTATATCAACAACATATTTTTTGGTTGCCATATGTTTACCAGCTATGGATGGATTTTTCGATGTAAATCTTTCAAGGTCCTTTGTTTTACTGCTGATAACTTTCAAAATATCATTTAACTTGCTGATATTTGAATTTAGCGTAGAATTTTTCACTTCAAAAACATTTTTGAATCTGCTTTCCAACTGCGTTATCATAATCTTTGGAACGCCATCACTTTGTCTACGTCCAAACTTATCGAGACTCATGATGAAAATGACTATAAAATGTAATATACTTTAATATATGATATCTGCTTCTCGAAGTTCGTTGATTATGCTCACGATTTTTACAATAAAATAAATAATTTAATAGTTGCACAAATATAAAAATAATTTAATGATTTTTTACTTACCCGTCCTCTGTCCAGCCCTTTGATTATATCCAGGTCCGTAATGTCTGATATGCCTCCGTGAACTATAAGTACTTTATTATTAACGATTGTTCCAAGTGGAAGATACCTGTATACACCTTCGATGAGCCTTAGAAGTTTTTCGTGATTTTTCTGCCAACAAAAAACAGTATATAAAGTCCAATCACATACAGAGTGTTTCGAAAAACATGTACCATCGTTAGTGGCAAAAAATAAGAGAAATAGTTCCCATCAACGTGGTGTAAAAAGGATGCAAGCCACAATTTGTCGCGAAGTGACTGTTTAGCTCAAAATATATGTTAACAAGGATATTACTAGTTATATACAAATTATTTTACCTCTAATATTAATAATTAAATAATTTTTTATTTGTATTTGACCGATTTAAAACAAATTTAAAACTTAACTTCTTAAAACTTACATAATGTGGCATGTAACCTTATTACGCCAAGGTCTTCATTTGTTAGATTGTTAACCTATTAAGGTAAAACATAGAGATAGATCTTAAAATGTGGACGATTATCCTTTTTAATGGATCTTAGTTTGTTAAATTCAGTTAATCCAAATCGAAGAAAAAATCTGATGGTCCCTCTCCATTTTATTTTATGCAGAGTAAAATGTTTGGAATGAACAAAATAAAATATTATTTCTCTCATAACTAAGATTCGTTACTTATAGAAAAATCTTTTATATTTATAACTTTTTTTTACAAAATGTTGTTTTCTAAATATATCTACAATTCTCGACTACCTCTTCCTTCAATAATGAAGCTATGTAAACGAGTTTTTATAGTTAAAAATTCTAGTAAAGAAAATAACACTTACTTTGTATTTAGATTGCACTTCTCGAATAAATCCGTACCTAAAACCAATAAACATTGACTTGAGTTTTATGTGACCACTTAAATCGTATTCGTAAATAAACAGGGACTGTTCCACGATTGTGCCATTCGTGCTGGGCGTTGCAATTGAATTATGTGATGCATTTACTTTAAAAATTTTATTGCATTCGAATTGGCTTTTTAATACAACAGAACCTTTTTACGAGGGTGGATTTATTGGATTCCTGCATTAGCGTTAGAAGGTCGTGGTTTTTCAAGTAATAAACAAAAAAGTGGTTACGGAATTCTTTTATTTGGAAAGAAAAAGCACTAACAAAGCTGGACCGAGTAGAGTCTGATTACAATAAAACCACAGTTACGTCATAACCATTATTTAAAACTTAAAATATATAACAAATAATAAAATAAGAAAAACTATTAAAATCAATACCACAATAAAATTTACTAACAAAGTTTGTCGCGACCACTTTCTGCTTAAAATGGCCATCCTCAGACCTACAATACAAAATACAATTTGTGCCAATATTAAAATTAAACAACAAAAATGAAAATTTTCTTATAAAATCAAATTTTCTTAAAATAGTGATTAATTAAATACGAAATTTATCCAATGGGTGGTTGAATAGTATTTAAAAAATTATAGTGAAATAATTAAGTATTGAGAACACAAAATAGATGATACGCCCTCTACTTTGGATTAAATATATTGTCCATTTGACATTTAATGTTCCGTCAGGTTTTATTTATCTCATTAAATGTTGTTTGATATTTAATAAATGTTTTGTTTGAAATATCTTATTTAATGAGCTAATAATTTAAATTTGTATCATATTTATTTAAATATTATACGATTTGGAATATAAGTGGAATATTAATGGAAAACACACTTGTTGTGTGCCTCAATGCAACTCTGGAAAAACTGACCCTTCGCTTACATTTCACCTGTTTTTCAAAGCTGGTTAGTAGGGTAATTTTAGAAAATGCAAATGGATATTCTGATGCAAAAAATGTATGGTTACAAAAGTTAAAAATTGAAAAGACAGTAACAAAGTATTTGAAAGTTTGTTCTCAGCATTTTAAAGTCTTTACCTAGAGGTAATACACATTTATTTTTCGATTGAATGTTTTTATTTTACCTTTTTTTTTGTTGCATCTCAAGCAAAAAGAAACTGCCAGTTTTTAAGGAAATGTTTGATGATTCTGCTCCATCAACTTAAAAATCAAATATTGATCGAACAGAAAGAAAAATAAAACCTCAGAAATTCAAATATTAGCAATCTACATAACTTTTTGTACACACTGTACACCTATATGCATGCTGAGAATTATCGCACATTCACCAACTGACTACATGAATTTGCATATCTTACAAAACTTCCTGTAATCGTAAATCATTGTTCGAAATTCTCTTGAATAATTAATCCAAATTGTACCTATTGTCGAGGAATTGATCTGATTGCATTAGCACCTTCTTCCAATCAAATCGTCTTAAATTGAAAGCAAATTGAAAATGGTTAGCAAGGGTGAACAATCTCAGATGAAATAATGTTTATTTTAAGATAAGGTTAAGCAAGGTAAAAAAAAGTTATATAGCAAAAGAAGAAGTATAAACTGATTTAAAGGAGAGGAGTATTTAGAAGAAAGATAATTTAGAATCAGATAATTAAGAAATTGAAGAGTGTATAGAGAAAACTTAATATTCGAAATTAAATAATGATTAAATTGATATCCTCTATTATAGTTACAAAAAAAATAGTATAAACATTTTAATAAATATGTAGATTTAATTATATAAATGTAATTATTAATAAGTAAGTAAATTACTATTAGTAATTGTCCAATACCTGTAAAATAACTGTTCAATAAATACATAATTTGTCTCATAACTGTATTTTTTCATAAAATTAACTTTAAAAAAAACGAAAGGCTTTATTAAATCTATAAATCGTTGCTCTATTTAAACATCTATAGACATTTAAACGGCAGAAACAGTGAGAGTCCCATTTGGAAAGTTATTCCCCAACAAATTTATGGTTTACACCTTACCTTTTATTCTCCGTATCGTAATTCCTCTACTTTGGTTTGAAGGACCATTGTAAAGATTTAATAACATATTAAATCAAAGGTACTAACTATTTTTAATTCTTATTATCAAATCATTCTGACATACTTTTTCTATATTAAATAACTAACAACTATAATGAATAAACTAATTGTGTTGCCTCACATCTTGTAGTAGTTTAAAATACTGCAAAGAAAACTTTTGATCAAACCTCGTATACTGGATATTTTTTGATTTTCATTAGAATTTCTTAATTTTAACTCATTCTGTTCTCGTCTTGTATACAAAACTTCTTACAACTTCTACCAAACTTAATATTAAACTGTCCATAAGTTTTCATACCAAAGGAATAACTTTCGTAGACAGATATAAAACTCAATTTGAGTTCCAACAATAAATTGGAAAAGCCCTTTGATATAATCAACGTTCTATTTCGTAAAAAAATTACAAAATATAATATTATGCTATAATTTTTAATCTAAGTATTGTCAGTATTAGCAGAATAAGAAAAAATACAGTTACATAATCACTTGGCGCAGTAATTCGTTGGATATCGCTGCCTACTGTGTGCAATGAACTGGAGTGGGGGTAGAATACTTGTCAATAGGCTCGACATGCGACTCTATGAGCGCAGACAGGTTATTGTTCATCTCACTCGGGAGTATTTGTATTAACCATTTTTTATTTCACATTGTGATCCACCAGCTTGTGGATTGAACAATAAAAATGGCTGCGCCCATAGAATCACATCTTGTTCTATTGATACAATATGCACATTGGTTTTCTATCCAATTCCAGTTCATTGACTGTGTGTAACATAAACAGGTTCTTGTGAACCAACGATAATAGGTTGGTAACACCCGTAGGTTGGCAACACTTATTGATGTTAGACCTGCTTGTCACTTGTCAAGCCATTTGGTGACATGTAAGCGATAGTAACAAACTGTATCACGAGTTCCTAAAATAAAAGATATAAAATAAAAGGTACATCATTTGTAAAAGACATTACACTATCTATTTAGTGACATGTTAATATTATAGGTATATAGGATTATTTTTTTTATAATAAACTATTGATAGTTGTAGGTAATATATATTTGAAATTCACAATATTGGTTATGACGTAGTGCTGTTCTTCTTATTGTAATCGTGATTGACCTACTACTTTGCATTCTTTCTCAAAAAAGTTAGTTGTGCCGTTTTGGATTTCGGTAAGTAAATACAACTAACAAGAATTTATTTCTAGAAAAAACATACAACTACAAAATCAAGAACAAAATTAAAAAAATCTATGCTACTTCTCATAGATGATGCGTTAATTGACATTTCTATACCGCGCTCTTTCTTTTGCTACATTTTGGCCTCGTTCGCAGAGACACTTGGCGACTCAATGTATATTCAGCCACCCAACAGACGAAAACTGGAGTTAGAGCGTTAAATTTTGTTATAAATAACAATAATTTTTCGCATAAATGTTCTTCATTCACTCTCCAAGACATCACCAATATTTTAATTCTCCTGCCTTGATTCCATACTGAAAAAGCACTAAAACATCTTTCTGGAACCCTATTTCCTATCCTTACTCTAATCATAAACGCATGCTTTTCATTTTCCTACTGGCCATTTGCCTGGAAATTGTCCAACACCATTATCATTCTCGAACCAAGCAAGGATCCCAAATTCATACATTCATACCGCCCTATCTCAATCATATCAGTCATTGATAAGCTCAAACTGATAATTTTGGACTTTTATGACGAGATAAACATTATTTCTTAATACCAACATGGTTTCAGATCTCACAACTTCACCCAGGACATAAACTTAACTCTCTAACTGTTGTCACGGCAGTGTAAAACTCTTCAGTTTTTGACCATGACACGTAACGAATTGAATAAAGAGACATTACATACGAATCGCATTCTGTGGAACAAAGATAGTCGTCTCAACACGTGCCAAATTGAAAGCTAAGAATTCCAATGCAAGTCTGACATTACTAACTATTTAAAAAACCTGTCAAAATAGGTTTTTTCCTGCCGTATTGAAAGATAAAAATCCCAATGCAAGTCTGACGTTATTAACTATTTAAAAAAAATGTCAAAATAGGTTTTTTTTCTCAATATTTCCAATCTGATCCACTCATACCGTCACTGTCAAAGTAGGCAATGCCCTGTCAGACCCATTCATTCTACTTGATGGAGTATCTCAGGGTTCCGTGCTTGTCCCTCTCATATAACTCATCTACAATTCCAAACAACCCATCGTTCAGATGCCTACTAAACGATGATACTTTTCTACTCCTAAAGTACCCTGCAAACTTCATGGTATCGTCGGTGCCTCCCACTATTCCGAAAACCAAAAAAAACATGTTTTTGTGGCATTTATCAATTAAATATACTAAATAAGTGTAAAAAAACTTAGCTTCAATAACAACCTAGCCATTATTTAAATAAACCTTGTTATATGTTTTTATTTACCTCTGATTCATGATGATATCTTCGTGGTTGCCTCTATTGAGGTACACCGCTCCTGGTATAGCCAAAAGACATAACAGGAGTATCAAAAAAACTTCTAAACCTCTTTTTCCTCTATCTACAAAATCGCCGTTAAAAACGTACGGATTGTCTGTTGACGGAAGACCATTCTGAAAAATAAAAAAATTAAAATAGTTAAATAATATATTGAAGAAGGTTATATAAATACATTTATGCAATATTATCATCACAGTTTGGAACACTCAGCATAAAAGAAATTCCCGTTTTTCGACGTTTTTTCTTATAGTTATAAGATTTAAAATAAAATCAAAAGTGCTAGAAACATCGAGAAATGTTGAAAAACGTTGAAAAACGTTGAAAAACGTAAAAAAAATGTTGAAAAATGTTCAAAAACGTTTAAAAAAGTTTAAAAACTTTTAAAAACGTTTAAAAACGTTTAAAAACGTTTAAAAAAACGTTAAAAAAACATCGAAAATTGGCTAGTAAAAAGTGGTCCATTACCTACTAACGATGTATTTAAATTTGATATTAAAAACATAAGTTTATACTTAAAAAAATTGGATGTAGTCATCATAACGTTATCAATTCATCATCATAGCAACGATTAACCAAAATAAAAGTAAAACCAAATTTAAAATTTTACGTGTGTTGACGTAATTTTTTCTGATTCTAATAAATATAATTAAAAAAAAAGCATTTAATGTAATACAAATCGAGGTCAGTTACAGAGAAAGGTTAGAGGTTAATAACTTAAAAAAATCAATTTTACTGTAACAGGTTAATTGATAAACGAAGGACAGTGTAAAAGAAAAACCGCAAACAATATTTTATTGTAAATATTTATTTTGGTGATTAAATTGCTATCGTGTTATTGAATAGATATTTATTTTATTATGAGGAACTAGTTTTTTTTATTTATTTAGGATCAAATATGCTTCAGATAGTGAATTTATTAACAGCTTTACTCGTAAAATTATTTTTCAGAATTATTTTTCAAATATGTGTAAAATTCAACCATACTAATTTAATTGTTGCGTTTCGAATATTAACCTGTAATATCGATGAAATTAAACTACCTGTTTTTAAGATTCCAAAACATTCAGGTCAGTACTAAGTGACGTGAAGAAATCTCTCTATACCTTACAGATACAGAAATGTGATAAAAAATGGTTAGTATTGATAAAATTCGTATCCTACAATTTTTTCTGTACAGTAATCAAAATATTACAAAATAAATAGCAGATATATTAATTGTAGGGTTATATTATGATAAATAAAATACATTTGAAGTAAATAAACAACAATGGTCGTACTCCTGATGGACAGTCGCGTAACTGACGAAGTACTTTGGATATTATACTCCTTGAAATGATCAACTGTTTTCTGTTCTCGGAACCACCATCATTTTCAAGTACTCGTTTTAATAAGCCATCTTCCAGGACGAAGGAGTCCCACTGAGCCAAATACGACTTAAGTACTGGAGAGAGATTAGATACTTCTTGCCAAGTAGGTCGACGATTTTCCTCTTTCCATTGTCGCATTTTTTTTAAAACTGTAACGTTCTCTTGTTCTTCTCTAATTTTAGCAGGGACCCATTCATCGTTGACTACAGTTGTTCTTAGTAGTCCAATTTCTTTGGATTCCGATTTGTTGCAGAGGGAGCACTCTGCTGGACACGGTCTTCTAGAAAGAGAATCGGCATTTCTGTGACTTATTCCGGCTCTATGTTCGATCTTAAAGTCGTACTCATGAAGTCGTTCAATCCATCTGGCGATTTGACCTTCCGGATTTTTGAACTGCATCAACCACTTAAGGGCGGCATGATCGGTACGAATTAAGAATTTCCTTCCATATAGGTAGGTATTGGTAGAAGTGTTCCACGCATTTTACAACTGCCAGGAGTTCTCTTCTCGTGACGCAGTAATTTCGCTCAGGTTTCGAGAGCACTTTACTAAAATAACCCAGTACTCATTCTTTTCCCCCTTGAATCTGTGAAAGCACTCCTCCAATTCCCACATTACTAGCATCAGTATCCAGGGTAAATTCTCCCTCTGGCAGTGACTAGCCTAATATTGACGCTGTTGTTAAATGCTTCTTTAAAGTTTCGAAGGCAGTTTGGCAGTCTTCGTTCCAGCAGAATTCTCTTGCTTCTTCTGTGAGTCGCGTTAGAGGTTTAGCAATATCTGCAAAGTTCTTTAGGAATCTTCGATACAAAGCCCAAGAAAACTTCTTATTTAGTGTTTATCCTTTGGTTGTGGCCACTCTTTGATAGAAGCGACTTTTTCCTTGCTGACTACATGACCCAGGTAATTAACTTTATTTTGAAATAATTGGCACTTCTTGGGGTTTAGCATCAGTTGGGCAGCTTGGAGTCTTTTAAAAACATCTTCTAAGTTTTTTAGATGTTCATCAAATGTCTTCCACTAGACTTTTAAATACACCGGACATGTTGTCCAGGATAATCCTCTCAATACATTTTCCATAAGTCTTTCAAATGTTGCGGGAGCATTACATAATTTAAATGGCATAACGTTGAATTGCCATAATCCAGATCTGGTAGTAAAAGCTGTCTTTTCTTTGTCTACTGGGTCCATTTCCAGCTGTCAGTATCCAGACTTCAAGTCTAAGGTAGATAATAGTTTACTTTCGGCAAATGTGTCCAAGGTATCGTCGATATGAGGCAGAGGGTAACTGTCTTTCTTGGTAACATTGTTCAGTAATCCACACAGAACCTTGTAGTTCCATCCTCTTTCTGAACCAGGACTACCGGAGAGACCCATGGGCTAGTGGAAGGTTCTATCACCCTGTCTTCCTTCATTTCCTGAACAATCCTTTCAGTTTCCTCTCTCTTGGCCTTTGGTAATCTTACAGCTGATTGACGAATCGGCCTGGCGTCACCAGTGTTAATTTTGTGTTTTACAACAAAAGTTCTTCCTGTTTTTCCTCCTTTTGGTACAAAAATGTCATGATATCGTCGAAGAAATTTCTCTATTTTGTTTTTCTCCAACTGATTCAGAGATTGACCAGCAACTGCAATCATTTGCTCGAGTTTGTCGTTGGAATTATCAGAAGTTGTTGTCTGACGAATTATGGAAGTTACTGTTACACAAGTTCCGATTCTGGTCTCTTTCTTAATGGTAATTGGGTGATCATTAATGATTATAAGACGAACTCTTTAGCAGCAGTGACCTTGTCTTCTAAGGAAAAAACTTTACTGTCTAAGGAAGAAATATCAGTTTTCATAGAAGACATTTTACTTTCCATATCGGAAGAAATTGAAGAAATTATAGAAGATGATCATCTGAAAATAAAAACGATTCCGGATCCAAACCTTCATTTTCTAGTGCTTTTTTTAATTCGTTCTGCCAGCTCTGATTTCTTCCCTGTCGTCTCCAGTTCACGTTCTTCTAATTCCCAACGTAGCTCAGGCACTTTTAAATCACACAATTTTTTAGCCATGAAACCTAGAAACCTAGAAACTATGTGTCTGCTATATTTGACAGCTGATACGAAAAGTAGAATCGTGTTCACACAAGGGTAAAGTAGATTTTTATCTTTATGCGTGTGATATTGGGTACTTCCCATATGTAAGTGCTTGTCAGAAAAGGTAAATTTTAGGTATTTTATATATTTTGACTAAGGTGGGCAGTATACAACTATATATGAAGGCTTTTTTCTCTATTATAAGTCGGAAAAATCAACTTTTTTTAAGGTTATAAGTAAAAATAAGATTTTTTTCGAGTTCTATATCGAAAAAATAAAAAAAAAAACGATTTTCCGTGTGACCTATCATTATCGTTTTCTAATCTCTACTCCCATTTTGGCTGAAAGCTTTTCACCCTGTTGTCTCGACAACGTAATTCTTTTTAGTAGCATTTTTGGTGAACTTCAAGATTCCGGTTTTTTTGATTTGATTCTATTACGGAAATTGCTAAAAAGCACCGCTTCTTCACAAAAATTGCTTTTCCCTTGTTATGTTTTATCACACGTGTGGGAAATAATAACGCGTTTTGATGTTGTTTTTAGTAAAACTGCGGGCGTCAGAAATGTAATAATCCGACAAAGCTCATGAAGGTAAAAGTAAACAAGGACGTAGCCAATTATGTTTACTATATATACCTGCTCTTTTTATAGGTTATGGAATGAAATAATTAGTTATTTAGTTACTAGGTGGCTGGTAAATTAATAAACATAGTCAAATTAATTTCAGATAAAAGCATTAGTAAAATTACACAACTGATGTCAATTTGGCATTGCAATGTTTCAGAAAATGAAAATGAAGATTTGATTTCAACTTGATTGTATTTGGTTATTAATAGAATATATTGTTAAGAGTGAGATTATAAGCCCTTTCGACTGACACTAAAGTCCACTCTTAGTTGTAACCACGGGTTATATATAGGGTCCCAGTTTGTATTTAAATTGGCCTCTAGATAACACACGGCTAGGGGGTTAAGTTCAGACAGGATGAGCCTGAGGAACCCTAACTTCCTGACGATGATTCAGAGGGTCGGGAAAGGGTTTGCCCTACAGGAACTATTCCCTTTGGTAGTACCTCCACCTTTGGATGATCGTGAGTTTTCATAAACCAAAAAATTTGAAACAACAAGCGTAAAACAAATAACTATGATTTACTTAACAAATATAGAAACAACTAGTATTACTTCAGCAATTCAGTAGTCTTTGCTGACTACACAAAACTAAATATTACTACTCAAAACTATTTACTTACATGAACATTATATTTTAATCCGTTAGGCTGCAGGGTTGGCTGAGGCACACGTTACTTTTCCCTCTGTACTTTATAAAAAAAACTAACCGCGATTCCACGTGACCAACCCGTGATTCTACTTTCCGACACAAAAAAAACTGAATTCACTTAGTACCAATGATTACGACCGCTCGTCCACAAAAACCAAAAGGAACCCCCCGAAAATTAACTTGTAATTCTCCAAGAATACTATTGTTGATCTTTCTTGACCCTGTACCTTAATATTATAATTTAATACAACTACACGTTTTATTATTTTATTGAAAATCTATTTAGCGCGCATGTCCTTGGACAAAACTTTACAAATCATAGCATACCTTTTCACAGGGTGTTATATTTATTCGTAAAAATATCATATTAAATTTTTTGTATAATTGTTTAAACTTTTAATTCTATTATTTTCAACGTTAGATTTTTTATATTGGCGTCGTTTATTTTAAAAAATGTCTACCAAATCTTAGCTCTTTATCTTTTACACTTTTTAAATTTATTTGGAACTACAATTAAATGCAATTAAACTTTGGAATTAAAACCTCGGTTTGAACTACCTTTAGCCTGATCTCGCGCACGCCAATGCTGTTAAACTACATCGCGTATTCGTTGGAAAAAGAAATGGCTGTTTTATTCGAAAAATTTGCTAGGCACGAACGTGGAAAATATCGCATTTTGTTCTGCTATATAATAAAATTCTATTTTAGTTGAAAATAATATAAAGGTAAAAGAGTTTCTCAGCTAAACGATCGAAGTGGAGTACAAAATTTAATTTACAATAAATACATTATAAATTTGATGCGCTGTTAAAGACAGAAAGTGCTCGAAAATATAAAGTAATAACGTTTCGTGATTTATACCAGGTATGTATTCAGGATTTTCCACCGATAGGTATTACTTAGCTTTTGAAATCAACTACATAGGCGTGTTCACCCTCGTCAAACCGTTTCATTTGTTTAGGAATTGAAAATATTTGTGATGACAAAAAAATAATCATTATATAACTTAAATATTATTTAAAAAAGTTCTACATCTAAAATATAAATCAAGAGTTGAAATTCAGCAGAGTTCTTTACTCTTTTATTAGTGAGGGCTGGGTCAATGAGTTTTAAAAATAATTATTATGTAAGAAAGACATATTTACCTTATGTAAAATAACTAATAAATCATCAAATTTCCCGTGCAAATCTCCACACACGGTGAGTTGTTTCGTCAGACCTGTAGACGCTACATTGACGTTTGGCAGCTTTTTTAAATAAATTATGGATCTCTTCAGAATATCTGCTACATCTTTCGGTGGAAGTCGATAGTGCTGAAATAAGACGAATTATTTCAGTTAAATCTTCAATTGGGATAGTTATTTTTTGATATACATATACAGGGTGTGCCGCGCTCAACGGGATGGAGCCTGGTGAGTAAATTAAAAATTTCTTTGACACAAATTAAAATTAGCTTCGTATATATTCTTTTAATTTTAAATTCAACTTTTAAAAATTATCTTAGTTTATAAAGATTTCCTATACATATCTTTGACAATTTCCGATTTATTTGACATTTTTTAAAAATTTACAACTGTCAAAATTAATTAATTAATTACAAAATAATTAATTACCGAATTTTTCGCAATATGAACAGAAAATGGGTGATATGCAAAAAAAGTTTAAAATAACTCTTTTTCCCTCCCAGATTTTTTAACATTGGCAATGGCTCGTAATTTATGCCGAACTTGTCCTCTAATTCAAATATAATGTTAATTTTGCCTGCAATAACAGTTTTTTACTACAATTAGAATTTAAAGTGGGTTTGGGCTTTTAAGCTTGAAATCGATATATAGCGAATGTAGCCATTAGTTTTGAAAATGGTTCGATTAATGATTAAAAACGACAAAAAGTACTTTAATTTTTTTGTGGAAATTACTGTTGGTATTAAGGTCATGAGCGTTGGATAAATCAATGCAAAGTCAAATATAAATCATTAAATTAATGTATTTTATTAGGGTCTTTTAAAATTACTTTTGTATCTTTGAATCACTATATTGATCCTTCAGGGACATATAGAACTTGTCAAAACTTGCTAGTTGCCGCTGGGAGGTGACTGGAACTGTTGTCATAAACTATACACCACACCCTATACTTGTGACTACGAGACAGTATTTTAGTTTGTATATTTTGTATTCAGTACGTATTATTTTCTTAGTAGAAGAGATGTAAGGGTACGGGATCACTACTTCCAAAGTCGCCACTAGGTGGCGACATCTGTCAGTGGTGGACAATTGAATCACGATCCACGGCGATCCAAGATGGCAGCCATCGTTTACGTGAACGTTTATAGTGTTGCGACGCGAATGGTTAAATTCTTTTTATCACTTTTTAAATGTAAATGAATCATTTAAACATTTATTCTACTTCTTAAAATTATTTACAAGTATTTTCAATTTCAATAAAATATTTTTTTGCTGTCAGGCATAAAGTTTCGTAATTTTCTCTTATAAAGTTGATTTTATTAGTTTAATTTATTCATTAATTGTTAACCGACATGTTTCTATTTATTTATCGGTTTTCTCCTTATTATTTATTTTTAAAAACTTTATTCTTTGTAGATTCCTTGTACTTTTTTGAAGAAAATTGTTTCCTGTGGTTTTTTAACTGTTCGTCTGATACTACCAGTGAAATCAGTTTTATTCGTATACAATATTCTCAAAGATTTATTTACAAGGTTGCAAATTATTGTTTTATTTGTATCTCACAAACCTGTTAAAAAAATTGTAAATATTACATTATTAGTAAATTTTTTATGTGTTATTATTTAATTCATAATTATTCTCATTATGAGAGACTTATTTCGTCTTTTCTCCTGGTCAAACAAATTCATAACTTTAATTCTTTCTTAATTATACATGATTTTGATAGAAATTTCATTTCATAGGTTTTTTAAATCCGACCAATAATAACCGAGACATACGCTTAGACTTTTTTAACTACGACATTGCGCGTTATGTTTTCTACATAATGCCGTTTTCCTTGTTTAAATCCAACCAATAATAGTCGAGATACACGCTTAGGTCCTTTTAATATTACTACTGCGCAGGACTTTTCTATTCAACGATAATTTATATACTTTCACGTAAACGATGGCCGCCATCTTGGATCGCTTAGTTGACTCGCAAAGCACTTAGCCGAGTTTCAATTGTCCACCACTAACAGGTGGCGCCATCTAGCGGCGACTTTGGAAGAAGTGATCCCGTACCCTTAGATCTCTTCTACTTTTCTTAATATTAAAAGTTTAAAAACATACAGTCCACTAATACCATCATTAATTTGATAAATACAAAGAAGGAGATCACAACAAGATGTTTTTATGGTATATTTTAGCCGCAGTCTTCGTATTACAATGAAAATAATTTAACAAGTAATTATAAAATTCCGAAAGAATTCAGGAATACATTTCAGAATCCGAGGGGTGATAACAAACAAAGGAATTTACACCCGAATTTGTTTCGGTAATTAAATCCACAACATTTCTCTTACACTTTCTTCGTTTCCAATTATTAAATTCCCGACAAAATGATATAGAAATATAAAGGTTACCTCAATATACTCACTCGATGTTTCCTGAAAATTTCTATTAATTGTATTAGAGCTTTTTCAGTATAAGGATATTCTAGTTCGTAATGTAACAGTTTTTTTTTGTCTTCTGGCTCGTAATACTCTTCATCGGGAGATTCTTCGTCAAAATCCAAATTAAGATTTTCTAAAAAAAACATCAGATATTGAAAATTTTCAAATTAGGTATTGAAAAATTCCCAAATAATGCATAAAAAATAGATACAATTGCAAAAAATCTACAATTTCTAAAAAGAATAAAGATTTGAGATTTCAATTCTTATATTACAGGGTGTTCTATTTAAAGTAAACTCACAATTTTGGTTCAAAATCTTTTTTTACCTTTTCCTGAAATGTGTCAAAGAAATAACCAACCCTAGATATTTAAAGACTGCTTTAGACTAAATTATTTCTCATACAATTAAAATTGTGTATTATCCTATAGTAAATTGTTTGAAAAATCTAATTTTTTTAAACAATTTACTATATGATACTGCACCATTAAAATTGTACAGTAAATTGTAATCAAATCGGGTGTATTCAAAGCAATCTTAAGTTGTATGAAGTAAAAAAGAATTGAATTGAAAGGATTGTCAGTCATAAAAAAAAATAAACAAAATTAAATGTAAGTTAACCCATAGCTTTTGAATGATAAATATATAAATTTGAAGGACTTACCTAAGGAAGCATTTTTGGAACTTGTCGAGTCAACTTCTCGTTCTGTTTGAGGAATGTGTGTCAGTAAAGCGTTGAAAAAATTATATAACTGAAACAAAAGAAAATTTTTATTTTTACCACGTGAAATTAGTAACTACAATCATTTGTAAGAATAAGAAAAGTTCTAAAAAATTATGAAAAAGTTTAATAAAAAAATAATAACTCTGAAATGATTTTAATTCCAATTTACTTCACGGAATTTCTTTAGTGCAGTAGTAACAATTAAAGCCTGCTATTATCGCATTTTGAAATTTGTGTCAAAAACATTAAGCACCCCGCAATATTCTGTATCTCCCTCTGATGCTAGTGTTTTTGACATCACATATAAACAACGGCAACTATTTGGTAAGACTACATCGTCAACCTGATGCTGAAAATGATAATACTCATCTGATAAGAGCCTCAATACCTTCAAGGTTTCAAGCTGCTACCGAAAGAGAATGCTTTCGATTTTTATTTTTTATTGTGTAATCACTTGTTCGCCTTAGGCTAGGAAATCTTTCTTGTCTTCCCATGGGCCGTAAGTAAAACTTTCTTGATATTGACAGACGTCCTGGAAAACGCGTAGTACGAAAACTTCGTATACCCTAAGGAAAGCAGGATAATATGTTTTCAGTAGTTTCATCTGTCCATTTTTATATAGAGTTTGAATGGATTGGAATGTTTTTCTTTAGGAAAGAGATACCACACAATCTTTATTACTAAAATATATATTTTAATAAGAATTATAAATTACTAGTATTGAAGCTTTATTACTAGTGTGCCTCACGTATCTCTTGTGATTGGAAGTAAAACTTATTTCTTCCTCCATACAGATCCTAAGATAACTGAGTACAAACTTGAAAACTACGTCAACTGATATCATCGTTCTTTTACAATTTAGTTTGGATAAGAATGGAATTTTAAGTTATCCACATTTGTATTTAATCGTTTGTCAAACAATAATTTGAATAATTGTTTTACCAAAAATAAGATAATTCGGATTACAGAGAAAATGTTCTCTACTATGTTACACGCGCTATATTTGAGCAAAGTGTTATAGCAAATTGGCAACAGTATAACAATTTTATTCCCTATTTTGGGTGCTATTAGTGAAGAGCTTCAACCAGTTCTTTCAAACATCCTGATGTTTCTATTTTCCTTTGTTTTGAGAAACTGCTATTTTGTATTATGATACACCTTAAGGTATACAGCGGTGTACTATTTTTTTTTTTTTTAATAATGTCACAAAGTAATAAAATGTATTTGGGAAATTTTTCAATATTCTTTGATTGAAATATCGATATGTCAATCTAAAAGAATTAAATTTTCCTCTCAATTACTTAAAACAAATTTAAAAATACTAGTTACTTTGATGAGTACAAACAGAATACAGAATATCGCTTTCATTATTAATTTACCTCCAGCAATCCCATCTCTTGTTATTATTACTTTGTAGAATACATTAACAAACTTGATCTTGTTCGCATTGCGTTCCTGTGATCCATCAAATTATATCCAGCATCACCGTTTAGAGTAATGGATGTAACGTGCATGATTTATTATCAGTTAACGTAACTCAGCTGATTTATACTCCTTTGGAATATCATTAAATTAGAAGGGAAATTGTATACGAAAAAGGGCAAAAAGTCGTCGCGTGTTGGTGTTGCCTACATGCCGAATAGAAATGTGTAAACGACTAATAATAACGCCATCAATCATCGAGCTGAGTAAAAGAGCAAACAAACAAAATAAAAACACTGCTTTAGTAATGTTGGCATTAAAATAAAATGATGAATCTACACACTACGTAGTAAGGAGCATCTATAAACATGTTACTACAGTTGGATACCGAAAAAATAGCCAGGATTTTAATATCAAGGATATCAGAAGAATATAAACAGAGGTGCCATATAGACAATTGCAGTATATACCCGTCACTGAAAAAAAAATCCCTTGTCCTGTAACCTCAGAAAAGGAGGGTATGCTTTTCTGGGCCCCATGCTCCCGGTCATAAGCTTCTGCACACATTTTCCGAAAATTTTAACATTCATACCATTTCAAAACATCTTCAAAAAAGTTCTTTTATGGAGTGCTTTTACTCCAATTAGTTGGTTTTTATATTTTTTTCTACGCCTATATCAGTAAACGTTAAAAATCGCACTATCAACATTCCTTGTAAATGACATTTAACAATAACATGCAGGTAATGAGATCTCATAACATACACGTGCGTTTTGATAAGAAAACTTAAATTTCTTGGTTTAATCAAATTGCAATCAAATTTTTGTCTACTTACGACTTTATTTGGTCTATTTACATATATTTATTATTTATTATTATTTATTTTAAATAATTTATTGTGATCGTTAGTTGTGAATTTGAGTTTACCTTAACTTGATCCTGTTCCCCAGCGTATTCTAACGTTTGAAATATCGTCCAGGTATACCTTCTTCTTACTTCTAATCGTGCCATATACCGCCTGTACCATTTTTGGATTAATAGTGATGCCTTAATAGCTGAAAAGAAAAGAATGTTTTAAATAAAATTAATTTCTGTCAAATAAATTTAGGTTTATTATATATTTTTGATAGATTTGCGTATAATAATAATTTATTCATTAAAATAGTACCTATAAAACACATTTGATACAGAAAAAAAAAAGAGAAATGTATAAATTGGCTCACGTTAAGTGACTTAACACTTGTTACGCAATATAGAGTAGACATACTGTAATACATAACACACACAATATACATATAATAATACTGATTTGGAGGGGGGGGGGGGGGGGGGGCTACGCTTATGATCGTGTTAGAAAAATCTAATTAACACCAGGAGAATCGTTTAATATTTTTTAAGGGTGGTGTTCTGAAGATATTTGAAAAAAATTGACCTGAAGACGCCAACTTCAAAGAGCTCTAGCTTCGAAACCAAAGCTCCAAGAGCACATGTTTATATGAACTTTTCACTCTATTTTTACATGTTCTACATGCCCTAAAAATCTGTAACACGTATCATTAACACCCTGTATAGGAATTATTTAGAAACCTTACAACGGTATAAAAATCAATTTTTTAGTTGTGATTTTAAAAACGTTAATCTATTCTCTTGCAAATATGTATTTCATGTTTAATCGTCGATTCAATTTGAATCACACATCGGGTAACAAATTTCCCATTATTTTTGGAGTAGCTTTTACATTATATAGGTCAACACAACGCCTCTGGACGAATTCAACATATTTTTTATTCGTCTGCAAACGCAGACTGTCTGGCACAGCTAATCGAACGACATCCTATGAATATACAGGGTGTTAAAAAAAAAGTGTCACAAAATAAAACGGGGGGTAGTATGGGCCAAAATATGCAGAAAAGTCTTAATAAACGTATGTCCGCAAATGTATGGTTTCAGAGATACGGAGTGTTTTGTGTTTTGTATCATTTTTTGATTATCTTTTTTCATTCTCAAAAACTTGCTTTTCTTATCGGAGTCTACCGATGTTTTTTCATGGATACTATTTGCAGTTATTATTTTGTTGTGGCTGAATAATTTTATAAATTTTCGTTATGCCTGTTTACACTAATATTGAATTAGCTGACATGCATTTTATGTACGGTCGTGCAAATGGCAATGCGAGGGAAGCGCTACGTCAGTATTTGAACATCTCATTTAACTCTATGTTGTTATTGATTGTTTATAAATATCATTGTTTTTTTATAATAATAAAAAATTGTTATAAACACAAAATGGTCCGTATCTCCGAAACCGTTAATTTGCGGTCATATATTTATTAAGACTTTTCTGCTTATTTTGGGCCATACTATTCACCATTTCATTTTGTGACACTTTTTTTTTAACACCTTGTATACATATTGGTCAGCCAATTTTACATCATCTTAAAAATGATAAGAAACTTGATTTTTCACATCAAAACTATAACCCTAATCTACCTTAAGTCCAAAATATGATAATAAAATGTTTAAACGAATAAGAATGGTATTGCGTTCAACTGAAAGAATATATTTGATATCCATTCTAGGTAGTAAAAACATTACAAAAAATAATAAAATCCACCAATCACCGTTCCTATTGTGATCACCTTACTACTATTATTTTTAAAATTTTATGTAAGTAACATTTCTGTCAAAGTAACTGTCAGTAAAATTAAATATATCTACATTAAAATGAGTTATTCTTGTGTAGACTCGATAAATAATATTTCAATTTTTGTTTGGTCTATAATTATAAATATTTCGTTAATTTTAATAAAACTATGTAAAGTCAATTTAATTACGAGAATTAATGATATAGTATATTACATTACGAGTGTGGAAAATCACTTTTCACACAAGTGATGTACAATATTTTTCCTACGACCACAAAATATTTTCATAAAAAAATGTAAAACCAGGTTATTATAATAATTAAAATGTATTTAAAAAAATAATCAACAACAATCGTATTTATTCAATTTTCATATTTTTTAAACAAAAAAAAAAAATTAAAAAACAAAAAAAGTTCTGGCCCAGCCAGGATTCAAACGCGGTCGTTCGCTAGGCTGAACTAACTGAACTAACAGGCCTTTCGTCAATTGAGTGATCTAATCGGTTATATCATTATGTTTTTTAACCAGAATAAAAAGCAAACATAATCTTAGTTATTTTAAAATTATTTTAATAATAATTGTTAAAGATAAATATCTAGGATCTAATTTACAACAATTTAAATAATTTAACAATCATATCGATTTTAGTATTAATATGGATATTACATAGACCAAAATAGAAATTAGGTGTTTGACATTTTGTAACAACTACTGCGGAAAGTAACATATTCTCACTCGGGTGGAAAGTAAATTCTTATTCATACGCGTGTGATATAGGGCACTTTCCATAGGACTTTATAGTGTGATATGTGTCACTTTTCTAAGTGGTCGTAGGAAAAAATTTTAAGCACCTCGGTGGTGGTGGGTTCAGAGCACTTGTCTTTTTTCTTGTTTATTCTATTTTATAAACTAATGAAAGTTTAAATTAATTATTTTATCTTAATAACCTAATTTTTAATAATTTGTAAATTTTCATTAGTGGGACGGAGAAAAAATATGCTGTACAACTCTGCTTCTAGACCTTGGAGAAGATCTACAGTAGCAGTTTTGATTAGAATCTTCATGAGATCCTTTATTTTCTAATACCATAATCTTGTTTTCTACTTCATTTTGTTTTATAATTAAGTCACCCATTATTAGTTTAAAATTATGATTTAAATAATTTATAGATTTGGAAAGATTTAGAATTTCAATATTTTTGAAATTAGAAAAATTAGAGGAAGTAGACGATTCCCAAATTTTGGAGCTTTTGTGCCTTTGTTGGCAGCTTTTTGCACCCTGGTTTTTTGACATTCTAGCCTCTGAAGCTTTTGTGGCCTTGATTGAGCTTTTTGAAAATTTTTCGCAATGACCTGCCATTTTTCAAAAAACTCCTTCAACTTTGGATTCACCCTGTGTATTCAATATTCTTTCTGCAAAATTAATTGTTAACCAAGTGAATAGCAGAATTATATTCGGCCAAAAGAGAGATTCAACTTCGAACAATAAAATAAAATAAATCCTCTGAATGTTGGATGTTTTTATGCTTTCCATTTCACCAGCGTAGAATAAAAAGTTGATCCCTTTAGGAAATTATTCGTTTATTTTAATGATAACGGTTTTTGCTGGGTACGTCTGTCGCAGATTTAGTTTTGGTGCAGAAAAATGTAATTGTCGTGCAGAAGGGTTTTGTTTCGGGGCTAGAACGACAACGGATTAAACGATGCCGATTTTTCACTTTAAGCCCTTTGTTTTTCGTCAGATTTTGTGCGTCAAAAAACTGTTAGAGTACAGAGTTATTTGAATACTTCATGTTTAAATATTCTTAATTTCTAGGAAAAAATCTATATTTAAAAATCTACATTAAAAATACAACATCCTTTAGTTTCCACATTATGTAAAAACATAAAACAATAAATCTATAAGAGATAGAGCTAAATTTCTATTTAAAGGGACTTTATAGGCATCCGCTAAATATTTAAGTGATATTTTGTCTTAAGTTTTACCTCTCAACTAGTATTATTGATTAAATCTTTCTGATTTTATTTGTTTAGTGCTAGACTTATTTTTATTAAAAAAAAAAAAAAATTGCATATTTATTTGGTTTTCACTACCACAACGTCCCTCAAATAGTAACCTTTTTCCAATTTACCCATTTTAGTAACTGTTACGTTTTAGAATAAAATGATGTTGATATTTTAAATTTCGATATTTGGTATTTCGATATTTTCTATCCCAACTTACGAAATGTACCAAAAACTAATATCAAATTCAACACTTCATCTCTCCTTCTTCATTCGTTTCAAGCCAAGACGAAATCCAGTGCTGATGCGAAACGTGCCCTAATAAATTCCCTTTCGGTAATTTAAAACTAATCCTTTGTGAATTTACTGCAGATATATATCCAATTTATTGCTCTGCCAATATAACGAGGTTTATATAAAACAGTTGTGGGACTTTATCGATTTCCTACCTCAAAGTCTGATCTAATATATCAAGGGTGGATAAGGGGTTAGAAGGTCTTATATGAGCTTCCTTATATCTCTTGAACATTTCGGCGTTAAGAGCGAAGTAAATACAACAAACAAACTAATTAAGTCAAAATGAAAAGGAAGGATTGTTGAAATGGATTTCGATTTCGGTTGTAATCGAATAACAGAAAGGAATACAGGGTTAGCTCAATAAATAGCTGCAAATAAAGTCAAGACCACCTGAAATAGTTTTTTGTTGGGTAAGGTAATGTTAAGAAGTAATTATTTTCAGGCTCTTATTTTGTTAAAGTATCTTGTGTTTAAAATAAAGATTTTACAGAGTTGAACATAACAAACATCAATTAATATGTTCTGTTTTGTTGTAGAATGGAGAACTTCAAAATTTTATTATACATTTAATAGGCTTAATTTTTTTTAACACCTTACGTACCAACCACACGTCATTATAACGTCATTTTAAGGTCACGCTAGGCGCGCAACATGTCTTTATCTCATCAATACCCCGTGGAACGCAGTCCAATTTACGAAAATCTACAGGTAGCGCAAATAGCCTCGATTGTTTGATAAACAGCTCTAGCTCCGGTTTCGCTTTGAGTGGAGAAAGGCGTAGTTTATTTAGTACCAAGATCCAGTGTATTCAACTAAGGGTGCTAGATCAATTTTAATGCCAGATAAATATGTTTTCTTGACCCCGACCAACGAAAACTCCTGCTCATAATAGGTTGTCAAATTTAATCCTTTAGTAAAAATTAACAATGTACCCTCGGGTTTTATTTTAAATACAGCCATGATAATAATTTCAAATATATAAAAAGTAATCACATCTATAAGTCGTTTTAGCATATAAATATTTTATCTTAAATTAAAGAACAAGTAAAAATAGATATATTGCAGGATCATTCCTGTAAGAATCCTGGCAAAGAATCAATAATCACCAAAA